ATTTAAAATATATAAATGTATCCTTTTATTTGCCTTCTATTTTTAGGCTTGTAGAGTACACCTGTGCAATGTGGCATTTCAACAGTAGCGCATGCTTATGAATACGGTCTCCCGCATTCTACAGTGATGGGGCCTCAGCTGATACAGCAGGAAGTGACAGTTAGGGGTCTGTCCAACTTGAGGAGGCAGATGGCTGATTTTGCAGGCGAATTGTGATTGTGGGGCTGTCTGTTACGTGGCCCTGCCCCTCACCACTGATTGGTGGAGAGGGGTAGGGCTGCATGACAGGCAGCCTTCTCAGCCAATCAGCAGCACAGGATGGGGTAACTGCCATTTTGTCTGCTTCCCTTCAGGCAGCTACCCTCTCTGCTTCCTCCCCCCAGCAGGATGTGTGGTTGGGCAATGCTGTAGCATCTACTCCACTCCTTTTTCTTCAGCTTTTAATTCTCATTTGCTGCCTATGTCCATTTTAATTCCATTTCCCCCACCGTCCCATTATCTTTTACCTAGTATTATTTTTGTTCCTGAATGCTGCCTTATTGTATTTTATTTCTGCTGGTAATAGTCTCCTAACCCTCCCTCTGTTTTCTCCTGCCTCCTTCCTTCTCTGCCTTCTGCTTCCACCTTCCCTCTGACTACTCGAAATTTCCTGTCCTGCTTCTTCCTCCTGCTTGACTCCCAGTACTCCTGACAACTAGTCCCTGCATCCCCATAAAATCCCATATCTCCCTTCACCTCTAAGATCATTTGAGTAGAAGGCTGAAGAGCTAATAATCTGTTTCACTGAAATGTGTCAAGGTAAGGCAATGTGGCATTTCAACAATAGCGCATGCTTATGAATACCGTCTCCCATATTCTACAGTGATGGGGCCTCAGCTGATATAGCAGGAAGTGATAAAATATGAGCTCCACTGAAATAAAGTGGGAAAAGTGATGTGATTTACACTATTTTGTTTAAACCTATATGTGAAGTTCAGAGTGAAAACAGGTCCCATGAAAGGGTGAGTGAGTTGTGGTAGAAGTAGGTAAAGATATGGCTTTTATTGTGAAGAGGCACTGGAGAAGGGGCTTTCAATGAGGGGGTACCCCAGCTACTTCCTTTTGTTTCCTATTGCAGGAAAGTGTTGTTCGTTGTGGAAAGGAGCTCGTTGAACCGTGTCAAGTGTGAGCTAATCCCATAAAAGTGATAGCACAGGGCAAGGGGTAGGGAAGTGTACAAGGCTGAAGTAGGAGCCTACATTACACTCTCCTGGGTCCTAGCAGCTGCCATATGTATTGCAGTGACCTTTACTTTTTCTTTTGATGATTGGGGGGGTTGTGAGCCTCAATCTGAAAACTCTTTCTGTGGATGAGTATGTGTTCATTTATACAGAATATGCATGATTTATGTTAAAAATGAAGATTCCTTGTAGTATGCAGTAACATAACTAAAGGGGGAGGGAAGTGGGACACCAGCCCCCTAGCATCGACTTTGGGGGGACAGAGGGGGAAGGGCAAGAATAGCAGCTGCTGCCACCAGTGGCAATAACCAGGCTACTGCTGCTGCTACTGCCCATGGTGCAGAACTACCCTGCTATGCCTTTGATGTCTTGTTAGGTAGAAGTATAACTTACATTCAGATTATCAATTAAGTTATTCCTAGGGTCCAATCTCCTTCAAGCAAAGAAATTCTTTTGTGTGTGGGGGGCTGGTAGGGGGGAGCATAAATTATTGGGTGTGTACTAGGTGCCTATGGGGCATTATATAATGTAGGTGATATAAGACATAATGTATACAAATGTAGGTGTTGCCTCAAGTAAGTGAGGGGGAATCTTCCTTCTTTTCCTGATGTATTTTATGTATCTTGAAAAAGGACATCAAACCACTTATATCTATTTTCAGTTTCCTCTATGAGTAGTTTTAAGAAAGCTTTTGGAAAAACCAGTCTTTAAAATGGTTAATGTGACTCAGTTAAACTGGAATTGCACGTAGTATTCAGTTTTTCAAGGTGAAAATGGACATGCATTGTATAGATGGTACAGTGCATACCTCAGTGGTGCTCAAGAGGCTCTTCATGATGTATAATGCTGTATATCCTCCTAAATAATGCGTTTGATCATGTCAAGTCATTGGCAAAACTCTTTTTACCCTTCAGGGAGAGCACAAAAGTTTCAGATACATTTATCTTCTAACAAGGGCACGGAATTGCTATATTTAACACAGTACACAAAATACAACCAACACTAAATGGTATACTTAATGATAATTTTTTTTAAAAGGTGATGCTAACAGAAACTAGATTTCATTGCTTTTGTGATTTGTCCCAGAATTTCACACACACACATTTTAAAATACCTAATTGCTAGCAGTTTTTTTACAAAATTAATACAACTATAGACAACTTCAGGCCAAGGATTAGAGACTGTATTTTGCTAAGTATAGGCAAATGTCTGTCTTATCTTCTGTGTTGCAAGACCTTCAGGGCAGGCACCCACTTTTATTCCATGGCTGTATGGAACCTTGAGGAGCTTCATTTGACTCTGATGACACCTGAATTCTCGACCATTGCATGTTGGGTGTTTTATTTCACTGGCATTTCCAGAAGTAAGGAGAGAGATTACTAGAAGAGGATTAGTAGTGCAAGTTTCCACCTAATTTTTAAAACACAATGCACCAGTTTATAACTTTCTTTGAAAAACAAGAACTTAAGAAAAAATATTTCACAAAATCCAAACAGAAAAAAATCTTTAAGTTGACAGTCTGCCTTGCTTCCAATTATCTGGTACTGTACTAAGGCCCCTGATAGACGTTACGCTTGTTAATCATGTCTTGAGCTTTGACCCAGTCACATGTTCATTTAATTAATGATGCAATAAAACAGAGACTAAACCATAAATTTATTACACAACATGTGTGTAATAACTTTTTGGCTGGTTCCCATACACCTTAAACTGAACTTGTGACCATTGCTTCTACCCTCAGGAGCACACTGGAGCCTTTCAAAACTCCAGTGCCCTGCTGAGGCTAGGGGTGCCAGTCAGCTGATCAGGGCTCCCAGCCAGGGGAGGACATGGAGCCCTTGGTTCTCTTAAGGAGCTCCCCCCGCCAGTCACCTAGCTGGGGCTTACAGTCACAGGAATGCTGGGGAGGCAAGCTTGCTATTTGCCAGGGCAGGGGAAGACCAGGATCATGAACCCTGGTTTCCCCTGAAATATGGTTCAATTCTACCAACTGCACCTTCTGCCACGCATGTGTGGGATGGCACGAGGCAAGATTGTTGGGTTTGTGCATCAGATCCTATTGCACATTTAATTTAACATCCGCCAGTGGTTTGCTTTATACAGAACTACAGCTTACTTCAATACAATATTTCCCCAAATAGAAACTGCAGTGCTGTACCCTAAGCTTTTATTTTAAAAATATTTTATAGTTTTAAATGTTTTTCTTTTTAACAAAGCTTTGCATCAAGGACAGGGATAGTAATTATTATCTCTCTTTTGCATTGAGTAAGATACTCACTAAACAATTATAAAATTGTTCCTTTAAAATTGTAGTTAAGTGTATACAGTAAAAGAAATAAAAATGATCAGCAAGCTATTTTCGATTTCTTTATAAATGTACCTTTTTACCTGCTTTGTGGTTTCAATTTCACATGCTGTTGAGACAAAAAAGAAAAAACAATTTGCGTGTATCTTGAGTTATAGCTGTACACAAGATGGCGCTGTTTTCCTTTTAATAAGTATGAAACAAAATGAGGGCTTCAGGGGTCTGTCACAGATTTACATTTATTCCCAGTTCTGCTGTTTCAACAAGTGTGAAACAAAACTTTAAGGAACTCCATTACTAGCTTATTTTTATGATTTTTTAAAAAAAAAATCTAAATTCTGATTTTTAAAAAAACTTTTAAGAGATGTATTTCAATTGGCAAATTTGGGTGAGTTAAAGCAAAATTAATTTCTCATGAGAATTAAAAAATAGCTAAATGAAGGCTGCCAACTTTCATTTCCTAAGTTTAAAAATAGAAAAATGAAAATAGCCTTCTTTCTGTAAAGTGCTTAAAAAAGTAAGGTGTTCTGTTTGTTTGTTTTGACCCCCTCTTTTTCTCTCCCAGCTTTCTTCCATGTTCATGTGCAGAATTTTTTATGGATAGGCTTTGCATCAGAAATACCAGCTGTCTCAGATTCTTTCTTTCCATGCATATACCTGCCTGCTACTTGTCATCTTTTCTGTTTGAATGTTATTATTTATATTACCGGTGAGCAATTTCCTAGATGGCCTTCACAAAAACTGTGAAACTAACAATGCACAATCTGCAGTCATGTGCCTAATATAAAGAAACTTAAAAAGTGGAAAAAATCCTTCTCTTTCATCTGTTTCTGTTATGGATATATCTTAAGGGATTACTGGAAACAATAGTAAGCACACACTATTCATGTAGAAATATGATTTCCAGTTGCATTGTATCCTTCTAAAGTTTTCATAAAAGTGTATGTGCAGTGGTCAATTCCTAACATATGTGGTAAGGTTGAAATCCTGACCTCATGAAGGTCACTGGTAAAACTCCCATTGACTTCAAAGGGGCTAGGATTTCACCCTAAAGATGCATATTTGCTATTGTTGTTTGGGACTACGTACAGGTATTCTACAGACTATATATACAACTTCTGATTGTATTTATGCTGATGTAAATCCTAGGAAATCCCACTGACATCAGTACAGTTGCATATGTTTTTTCCTATATAAGAGAATCTAGCTTAGCAAAAATGAAGTGTTCATAAGAGCTAGGAGTATGTTTCCATGCACTGTGATAATGCTTATAGCCTATCAATACATTTACTACAAATATATACAGAATTCTCTAGCTACAGAATCAACATATACATTTTCAAGAACTCTTCCAGCCAATATTTGTGGCTTTTGTAGTATTAAAAGCATATACTGCTGTTGTAGTATTAAAAACATTGGTATAACAGGAGAAACAACTATGTACCTAGAACACAATACCTTTGTATCTAGAGTTAAGTAGCTTTATTAAGTAGAAATTATTCAACAACAACTTGTATTACAATATAGATACTCCAATTTTAGGTGGGGATGTAAGGTGTAATTTGATTCAATAGTAATGTTATTCATAGATGCATGTGATCGAAGCCGGCAGACTGCCAGGATCCACAGCAGTGACCCCGTTTAGACGGGACAAGTGTGTGGGGGAAGGAGGAGTAATGTTGTTTGTAAATTTCAGTAGTAAACTGATAAATCATCAAGAGACACTTTCAGAATAAGAGTTGGCAAAATGTATTGTTTCATAGATACTTCAGCTGAGAACATAGATAAATCTATCTACTCCCCACCTCTTCCATACAATTACATCACTGGAGCCCTGTCAGTGCTTGATGAATTTTTAAGCAATTTCATTTAAGTGTGTATTTCTGAAAGGTGAAACCATGCTTATCCTTTTTGGTGCTGTATTTGAGGCATCCTCTATTTTTTTCAAGTGGCAAACAGTATCTACTACAGTGGCAGGCAGTTATTTTGGGCAGAGGGCCGCTTACTGAGTTTTGGCAAGCCATCTAGTGCTGCATGATAGGCAGCCAGGGGCGAATAAATATTAATTTTCTAAATTTTTTTAGAGGCCTTGCAGGCCAGATAGAATGGCCTTGTGGGCTGCATTTTGCCCACCCCGATCTACTATCAATAATGTTTAAAGGGCACTGGAAACTGTCACAACAGTTCTCAGCACTCCTTTGTATCAGCTGGCGTGAGTGAAAAGGATGGAACACGGTCTCATCAGCCATCCCTTGATTTGAGGATGATTTCTACTATTGATGGGTCTTGAAGTGCCTTAAGAATCCAATTCTTGAGCCACAGACCTGTCTGCAGAAGTTGCAGGCCTTTCTGCAAAGGAGGGTAGGCTGTTGGCCAGGATTTCTCTCTTTTTCCTTCCTCTGCTTGCTCTTCTCTGCTTCAGGGGCAAGATGCTTTACCTTAAAATGGGCAGCTGCTTGGTTGAGGTTGCGGCACCATTGGAGGTGGTCAGCAGGCAGCTCAAGTCATCAGTAGCATCTTGCACTTAACACCTTCACGTTGGTCGTCTTTTGGCTGGCGAGCAAAACAGGGCACACCAATTCCAGCCCTGCCTCTGAAGCTCGGTATCTTGTTGTGATTCTGGTGTCCGAGGGCATCCAAGTAGCAGCGCTCGTGACCAGGCCGTTCCGGTACAACCAGCTAGGCTGCTATACCACACACATGAGCAGCTGTAAGAGATGGTGGGGGAGAAAAGAGAGAACAGATTGGTGCAGGTTATTAGACAGAGACACTTTAATATTTATGAAGTGCTCTTTTTCTTTTTTTTTTTAAATCCCAAGTCTTGGGATCCAGTTACAGAGCTGCGTCACCCTGCCGATCACATGGTCATTGTTGCTATTTCAAGGATCAAGACTTGGAGAGTGGCACAAAGCTCCCCCCCTTCTTTTGTGCCCCTGAGTGCTGGGCAGGGCTGGATGGAGGCAGAGCGGCTGCTGTGATCACACCCCGCTTCAGGCTGGCCGGCCCGCCTCTCCCTGCTCATGGAGTGCAGCGGGCGGCTCTCACGGGTGGGAGGGCAGCTCTAATTGGTTTCTCAATGAGAGATAATCACCTCGTCCCAGGAGAGGCTCCGGATTAGCACTCAGCCGCTCTCCTCTCCGCGGGTTTCAGACTTCGCCTCCCGCTGCCTCCGCGCCCAGCCCAGCGCAGCGCAGCGCAGCCCAGCCCAGCCCCGCCGGCAGCCCTCGCCGCTTCCCTCCCGGACTCACCCCGGCACCATGAGCGAGCTGGAGGGCGACTTTGCTAAGCTGCTGCTGCTGAAGGAGGAGAGGATCCGCGAGCTGGAGCAGCGCCTGTCGGACAAGGACGAGGAGATCCAGGAGCTGAAGCGGAGGCTGCAGAAGTGCCAGTCCGTGCTGCCCGTGCCCAGCCCGCACATCGGGCCCCGCACCACGCGGGCGCAGGGCATCTCCGCCGAGCCGCAGACCTACCGCTCCTTCCACGACCTGCGCCAGGCCTTCCGCAAGTTCACCAAGTGCGAGAGGTACGAGCCCGGCGCCCGCGGGGGCGGCCCGGGGGCCTGGGCCCGGGCCCAGCCTGCTCCGTGCCGGGATGGGATGGGATGGGGGCGGCGGGCTGGCGGCGGCAGCAGCCCCGGACACCGGAGAAGCCCCATCGATCGGCTCCGGCGGCAGGAAGCGCCGAGCGCATTAGGGGCTTTTAGGCGCGGCGCGCGCTGAGCACAAAGTGCGGGCGGCAGCAGATCCGGCGTCCCAGGAGGCGCCCCCTCCCCTCCCCTCCCCTCCCCGGGCCGCTTTTAAGAAACGCTCTTCACAAAAGGTTGCTTTGGGAGCAAGCCCGAGCCTTTCATTCAGTGGCTCCTTGGCTGGGTTTCACGGTGGCTTTTTAATTGCTGCCTGAGGACTGGGGTTATTCCTGAGGTGACAGTCCTACTTTCCAGGCTGAGCGGGGTTCCGGCCGGCTTGAAAGGGAGCCCTGTGCATCTCCAGTTCACGCTCCCTCGGGCTTGGCCCGGCTTCAAGTGATGTGTCAACCGTGGGGCATTTCCAGGTGAAGAGCCTTGCCGAGTCAGAAGTGGCCCCTCGCACCCCTCTGCTGGGCCCTGCAGTGGGACGAGCTGGGACAAGGAAGGCGCTTCTACTTGCACAGACTCGCTATTCATCCCATGAGATCTGTCCAAGCAGATTTTGCTTGCAATGCGCTTTGCAAGCATGTCCCCACTTCCTCCTCTTTCTGGTTTACACTAAGACGGAGGGTAAATTTTTTCCTCTTGGTCTTGGGCCCATGCTTTCCAATGGAAGCCATAACGTTTATTTTCATCAGGATGACTCACTGTCATGTAAAGAGTTATGGCGAGAATAATATATGGGCATGGCAATGGTTGGAACCGGGGAGTTGAGGGGGATGATCCAGGACATCTTAAAACTACACTGTATATTTAATAGTAATACCAAAGAGGAATACCTCGTTTTGGTCAGGGAAATGCAGCATATTACCTATGGATTTTCATTTGGAAAGCAGGTGTTGCTAAAAAGAGGGTGTGCCCTTCAAATTTGTCACATCATAAATGCTTTAGTCTTTCAATGTTGGTCCTATTATGGATTCTGATGCTAAAACTTGAAGCAGTTTTTGATGGGTTTATTGGGGCTGTAACAGACGGCTTTATTGAGTAACTGGGTCTGCAATAATATAGCCTCAAGCATTATGTCCATTGACAGATGTAAAGGCTACAATGTCTGCTTTAATGCCTTCTCTTTTTTTTTTTAATTGCTACAGAACCTGGAGCTTTCCCATTAATTGGGAACTAAATATACTGTAAATGTCTTGTTTCCATTTAGTAGTTAGACACTGTCTAATAGAAAATTGTTTATATTGTTGCTGAAACTGCATTGCTCCATGTTTAAAACAGTAATAAAATATTCTAAAATCTGAAAATAGTGCTAAAAGAGTTCAATGGAAATTTGAACTGTAAACATATATAATTGTTTTACTCAAATGCCTATTTCAGCGGAATGATTTATGTTTGTCAGAGGAACAATTAATATGAAGACCTCCATAAGTAATTAATTGTATACAACATCACCAAGTACAGTGTGAAAAGGGGATCTAGAACCTCTGAATATTTCAGGAACATGAGGGTACTACTGAAAATGTTACTTAAAAATCCTGCTGATTGATGATTAAGCACTATGGCACTTCAGAAATTTCTCATATGAATCTGACAGATTGATGGAAATTTAAAGGACAGTTTGAATCTATCATATGAATTTCCCTGTATATCAACCTGCTATTCGATGAATGTGACAGCTGTACATTTAGGGTGCTTGTGTTTTGCACGCACATGTGGGAGGGTGAGGGACAGAGAGAGAAAATATGCTTCAGAAGTGGTGTCCTTTTCCCAAGTTAAACCAAATTCATCCTCTCTTTACAGTGCTGTTTTGAGAAATATAGAAGATGCTTTCTTTCACAAGAGCTATATGTGGTCTTCTGCACTGCATCAATTGCAAATACTTGAAGATCTAGCTTTATTTCAATTGGGTGGAAACATTCATAAAGCAATAATTTTGGGTCATGGGGGCACCCTATTCAGATTTGTAGGAGTTCCTTCAGAAAGCTTTTTTTTGGGCTAGATGTCTTTTTATAAAATGTGACTTAATGTGGCCAAAATCAAGAGCCTGATCTTTTCTTTCTCTTCCACCCACTTTCTCAAAAGCACACTATCTTGGTGTATTCTTTGACTTGGCTCTCCCTTTTCATCCGCCCCACCTCTGTTCATGTTGTCAGAACTTTTATTCTAAGCCCTTATTGTTATTATTTTACATTAACTTCTGTAATTGCCACTTCTCTGGCTTTGTACTACACATAGAAAACTGAAACTTGATTATGGTGACAGGTTGTGATCTCTTCTACCGACTGGCTAAGAATTATGCACATCCTATTATATCTGTTACCTTATCTCTTTTGCCCCAAGCTGTCCCACTTATTTTTTTCATCCATCTGCTATGCACTGTCTTGTAGTGTATTTATCTAGTGTACCTCATGGGTACATACTGTTTTATTATGGTTATGTTTTTTGGCAAATAGTTGAAATGAGATGCATGTGTGTGGTGTGTGCTTTACCTATGTAGACTTATGAGAGTCCTATTGTTCTCATTCACAGAGTGGCAAGTAAGTATTTAAGCACATTCTGTATCAGTGAAAAGGCTTAAAAAGCTTACAAAGAAACATGAAAATGACATGGAAATATGTAGGGTTTAAAGTAATAGCAGGACTTAATGTTTCAAGGAAAATTTTATTTTCAGTCATAAGTTACTGGTTTCATATTCGTAGCCATTTTGTAGGTTTTGGGAGTTTTTGGAGTTTGTCAAGATGTGCCTGCCACTGATGTATCAAAAAGGTATAGTCCTGTGATGCGGCTGGGAAAGATGGTCTCCTTGCTCTGTGGTGTCTCAGAATGTATGTTCCAAAATCTCAGTAGCTTTTTAAATTGCTCTACCAAACAAGTTCACATTGAATTCATTTTGTCACCCTTTTTTAGTATTATTGCTTCCCAAATTCCTTATTGACTTTTTTTTTGAGAATGATCCCCTTTTGGAGCTCATTCCTGTCAAAATGCTTCTGTTTTATTATAGGAGTTGCACAGGCTCAGAAATTTAGTGGTTCAGATGCCATTTATTTAATGCATGTGTTCCCAGTCTCTCTCTAATATACTCTGTGTAGTTTTTTCAATTCTTAATGATAGCTACACTGTTTCCATACCATTACTTTGTTCTTAGTAGTGATTGTCACACTTACAGAATTGAGAAATATGAGTTTTAATTAATGTTTGTTCCATGTCGTTAATGAAGTTCATTAAACAAAGCTGAGCTGGATTTTGATCCTTGCAGCATCTACTGAAAAACTCTTCCCCAATAATTCCAAATTTATGTTTTTATTGCAACCTTCTGCACCCCCCACCGCTCCTCCCCCTTGTAGGTTTTCAGACAGCTAACATTATTGGTGGCTTGTAAGCTAATTTCTATAATTCTCTGGGAGGGATATACATTCATATATCAGATATAATCTTCAGTATATATTAATTAAAAAAAAAAATTTCTATACCTACTTTTAAGCATGGTCTCAACTGACTATACCATAGTTCTTTAGCGCTAACAATTCATTTGGAGAATTCAGTACATGTCGTTCTTCTAAAATCTGGAGACTACTTCTATATAGTAAAAGCCAATTTAAGCCCAGATTGACAACACTCCAATCTTACATTTTAGAATTGTTTTAATGTAGTACCATTGGAGGTATTTTTACTGACTTTTGTGAGTTTTGGGTTAGGCCCTTAATACTTCTGTTCACTGAAGGAACACTGAGAATTAACTACCATGTATTTACTTTTTCTTTATAGCAAACATCTTTACAATCCATACATACTAAAATCCTCAAGTGCTAAATGATATTAAACAATGCTGACATTTCAAGAAAGTAGTTAAATCTTTTTTTTAATGTGAGCATCAACAGCACATTTTATATCTACAAATGGTATTTGGCAGGACATTGAGATTGGTGTCTGTTTTGTTTTGTTTCATGTAGTTTAAAGAAGTTAGTTGTTTTTTTTTTAAAGATTCAGTATGAGCTATAGAAAGATGATGATCTGTTTTATTTGCATGCAAGTATTTTTTCTAATCATGTATATGTTAAAGATTTGTACCTTTAAGACAGGAACAAGATTAAGTAGTACCTGTTTTCACATCATAAAAGTTATGTTATGTGCAGATATCCTGGGTGTCTCTTAAGAATATCACTTCAAACTATTACAGTCCCTGAATAATATAATGTAATTGTGATGAGGAAAAGGAAGGCATAGTTGTATATGTTTCTGTAGGTTTGTGGATATTCCGGTAAAAAAATAATCTTGTCAACTTTACAAATGGTAAACTCTCTTAGAAGGTGGCTTTTAAGCCACCCGGGACGTCATTCTCCCCCTGTACTCGGCCTTAGTGAGGCCGCAGCTGGAGTACGGGGTCCAGTTTTGGGCTCCACAATTCAAAAAGGATGTGGAGAAGCTTGAGAGAGTCCAGAGAAGAGCCACGCGCATGATCAGAGGTCAGGGAAGCAGACCCTACGATGACAGGCTGAGAGCCCTGGGGCTCTTTAGCCTGAAAAAGCGCAGGCTCAGGGGTGATCTGATGGCCACCTACAAGTTTATCAGGTGTGACCACCAGCATCTGGGGGAACGTTTGTTCACCAGAGCGCCCCAAGGGATGACGAGGTCGAATGGTCACAAACTACTTCAAGATCGTTTGAGGCTGGACATAAGGAAGAACTTCTTTACTGCCCGCGCCCCCAAGGTCTGGACCAGCCTGCCACCGGAGGTGGTTCAAGCGCCTTCATTGAACACCTTCAAGATGAAACTGGATGCTTATCTTGCTGGGATCCTATGACCCCAGCTGACTTCCTGCCCTTTGGGTGGGGGGCTGGACTCGATGATCTTCCGAGGTCCCTTCCA